ATGCTGTTGAAACGGCGTTGCCTATAGTAGCAACTGATGGGTTGAGCATGTTTTCCTCGGTGCCCTCCGCATTTCAAGGTGCCTCGACAGATGCAGAACCAAATCTGAAGGAGGATTCTGGTGCTGGTGGTGTACAGAGCACAAACAAAAGATCACATATTACCAACACAACCACTAAGCAGAGCAGAAATGCTCAAAACTTTTTCGTCCAAGTTGGTGGAAGTTCTTGAGACATTTCCGGAAAAACAAGACTCAAAAGGTTATGAACGAGACCTTATCAAACCCATTAGAATGGTAAGACTGCACATGGAAAGCTTGAAAAAAGATTGGTCCACCAAAACAGAAAGTAAAGTGGACCACAAAGCCTTAAAACTGCTGTCAAAAGGCTTGGAGATATGCACGAATGCGGAAAGAGAGTTGGCAGACCTCAATTTGTCTCCTGACGCGATGGAGAAAATTGCTAAAAACGCATCTGATTTAAGAGATGACATCTTTAAGTTTTGCACAAAAGTTAAGGCAAAAGTACCGACTAACCCTGTCTACACCAAGCCACCAAGACAAGCAAGAAATATGGCTGATCCTGCAAAGTCTGCGTCATCAAGTGCTGCTAACATGGCAGTTGAAAGTGCGCGGTTTAAAATCGCTGAAACAAGAGTCTTGTTAGAAAAACAAGAGATGCTACATGACCAAGCAAACAAGCAGCTGAGAGAGAGCAACAAGGAGCTAAGCAAAGTGCTTCAAAGCCTAGTGGAATTTAGCCCAGAGAAGATTGCCAACTTTGATCAGATAAGAGAGACACTGATAAAAGGCATCAAGGCCCTCGCTTCGGTGCGCGAAAGGTGGCAGAAACTGGTGGAGTTCTTCCAGACTATTACTAATATCATCAAGGTATGCCAGAGGGAGAGCCTCGCGAGCTTTGTGGAATATTCCAAAGTCGCCCAAGAACGAAGGCTGACTAAGGGCTACACTGACACTCATTTTATGCGTGACCTTATCTACGAACAAGTCAGCCAAGCCAATCAGACCTCTTATGTTGTTTGGTCCATTTCAAACAGATATGTAGAAGTATCTCGTAAGCACTTGATGGGCAGATTGGCCAGCCTCGGTCATTAGATAGCTTTGGACCCAGAAAAAGACAGGGCAACCATTGAAGCAAAGAGAAGAGAGCTCCTGGAAGGAAGCCAAGAGGCTGAAAGAGCAATTATGCAGTTGGTGACAGAAGCCCAGGAGCGTTTCCACGAGAAGGTAGGAAATAGGATTAAGCAGTTTGAAGAAGAGATGGAGAAAGTTCTCCCACCGGGAAATCCAGCCAGAATAAAAGAAATAAACGATTCCGTTGCAAATGCTGTCAGAGAAGCAGATGAAGATGAAGAACTAAGCGCGGAATGCTTTTAAGGTAAAATCATACTTAACATCAGGTTTTGTTGACTTTTGTTAGTTAGGTAGTGCGAATGGAATGGAACTGTTGCTAGTTATTGTAACATCCGTAGCAACTGTTTGAGTGGATGTATTAATCATTACATGTAAGAACTTGTCAGCATCATCTAAATTAAAGATGACTAATTTTTGAAACAACAGAACGATTCTGGGGAGAAAAACGTCATACTGTTGCCTTTATAAATTTTTTTTGGGGGGGAGGGTGGAGGGAAGGGGGGGTCTTAGTGTCTTTGGGTTATCTTTTAATGGCATATTGAAAACTGAACGATCCAACTTTACTTTGGAACAGTACGTGTAGTTTCTGCCGGGATATGTTAAGACTATCATGGGATAGACAAGGAATGGAGTACGAGGGTCGAGGAGTTTAGGATGGCAATGCCTTCATTTTTTCGGTTTTTGTAATCCGGTTTAATCCGTAGCTTGAATGCGTATATTTAGACTCTACAGTAACTATTTAAACATGCTAGGGTACGTACAGTATAACTCAAAGACCTGCAAATACGAACTAGTACTTGAGTGCGTTTAGTATTGGTTATGCATACTTAGTGGCAGCTTATATGTGCCTAGCTGAATGACTATAAGCATCTTATTTTAACTATTTCTTATCTTTAATGTTTCATTTCGGCGATTAACTACAGTAATCATTTATATCAATAAATCAATTCTGAGAAATACAGGAGAGTTCGAGTCAAAAAGATCGATCAATAATTATAATAACCTTCGCTGAAAGTTTTGTTTTTCAATATTTTAGTTGGCACTGTAGACATATTTCATAATATACATTGTTTTCATTTCAGATCGGCAGACCTGTGCAGACGACTGTGTACAATAATTCAAGTTTTAACTGCAGCCGAAATCCTTGTGCATCATGGCATAAAAGTTTTTTTATTTTTCTCGTAGTTATTGACGCCTGCTTACAGAAATTTTCACTTGAGTATTGTGAAAAATGGCGAGAGTCTAACATTACATTAAAAATGCTTAACAGGCTGATGAAAAGTGCAATCAAAATTTATAAGTAACCCGAGTAACTTAACTTTATAAAGAGAGTCAACGGATCTACTAAAATTCTTTTCCACTGATTTTACTTTTAGTAGCATCTTTTTAGTTGGTGGCCTAATTTGCTTTCAACTAATAAAACATTTATCACAGCAAAACCAAAGCTGCAGGGGACAAATCTCTACTTGATGTTATGGGACTACTGTTAATATGATCTTTGTTGGCATACCTTAAAATTCAGAACCTAAAAACCAATGTTAGGTTTGGGTAGATTCTTGAAGGCAACAGAAAACATTGGGCCAGACTTTGGTCTAGAAACATGTCATAATGTTAAAATTTTAGTCAAAACTACAGGGCCCATTTTTTTTATACAATTTAGGCTTTACAACAGCTCAACTTTTTATATATTTATGAGCCCAGAAGCTGTTCCATGTTAACTTTAAAGTTTTTATGTGATATAAGTGTGCATAGAGAGTGATACTCTCCAGGATTGACCATATATGGTTGAGGACTCTCCTTGAATTTGAAGAGGTTGACTTTTCTTGCATTGGCCCTTTGTTTCAGGAATGATCAGAAAGTAACTTAGCAAATGTTTTGGCAACTTTTATGGGTAGTGACATGTTTCTCCTAGAAGAGAATACAAATTTTACAACCTTGATCAACTTGAAGGGAATAACACAAGGTGTGGTTTTAGGTTAGGGTAGATTAAATCAACCAATGCATAATGAGTTTCAGTGCAAACAAATGAAGCCTTATACACTTTGCAAAATGAATAAAAAGAATCAAAAGTAAGACATTGACCCTAACATGAAAACTTGTGTCCCTAACAAAGTATACACAGTTGAAATTCCTGGTGGTCTTCAAATATCCTTACCATAAAGCAAGATAACTTTTCTCGATATTAATTTTAAGACCTAAAACAAGAGAACAGCTTTTTTAAATTTAAATTTGACAAAACTCCTTTATATTATGTAAAAACACTTTATAAACTACTTTTTAAGATGTTAAAAATTCATCTTTCCACAAACATCTTTTTACCAAGAATTTCTTTTTGGCAAAGTTTGTTCAACATTTTTTCTAATAATTCTTTTTCTTCATCGTGTTCATTTTGCAAAGTTTATATTGCTATTCACTCTTTATTACCTGATAAGCTTAGAAAATGAAGCATTTTTTGAAATCATGCAAGAATGTAATGCTTTTATCAACTTGATTGAGTAAGTGTGGTTTTTACTTCAATAAATGCTGTTTGCTGATTACATCAGTCTACAGTCATTTCACAATCACACCTATACCAACCCAAACCCCCAGATAAATTCCTCTTGAGCACAATTTTTAAAGGTTTAAAACGTTTCAGTACTTTTAAAAAAAGAAAGAATTAAGTTCACTATGAAAATTCGAACACCTATTATTATCACAGGGGTTCAAAAGAACAAATTTCATTCATCTTACTTTAATTATTTTATACCACAATTTTGGTAACATTTCCCTGGGGCTTGCTGTACCATTTGCAGTACCCTTTCTGAGGGGGGGGCATTGGGATTTGTGGTTTTAGTAATTTTTTCAGATTGGTATTTCAGTATTTGTGCCAATACACTTCTGGTTTTCAGTTTGGGTGTTCATTGCTGTTTGTGGATTTTCCATTTGGTTTTCAGTTTTCATAAAAATATTACAGGTTATTAGATTTGGTATCTGATGTAGTATTTTGGTTTTCCTTTTTGGGTTATGGCTTTCTACAATCTTAATGGCAATTATGCAAATCCACTTATCTTGAATAGCCACAAAATCTCTGTATGCTCCACTTTTTACTAGTGTATCGGATTGATTAGGTTTTTTGCTAACTGGGATATGAAAATTTGTCAGTTTTGCAAGCTGTCTTTGGTTCTGATCCTATTTTTTTTTTTTTGTGGTTATGTGGTTTTAGATGATTTTTTTCTACATAATTATGAATAAAGGCTGATAGTCTCTAAAGAAACTGTTTGGGGCTGCATTGGTGGGGGTAA